TCTATAATTTCGAGAGTGCAATTCTAAGTTTATAGTGGAGTAACTATTGGAATTAATAGAATTAATTAATTAATTAAAGTGTTTAATTGATTATTAATTTTATTGGAGCTCGGGATTATAGGTCCATTTGTCCCCTCGTCGTCCTAGTAATTCTGCCAGACACAGAGGGCAAAATGGGAATTTTAGAATTACAGTATTCTAAAATTAAATACTCGAAAATAATTAATTGAGAATTAATTATTATTTAAATAATGTGATTTTTTAAATTTGAATTTGAACACATCTAGATTTATCCATTTAAATTTATTTGATAAGTTGTTCAATTTAGAATTCAAATTAATTTAAGTTTGACTTAAATTGGAATTTGAATTTGAGTCAAAATTGGACTACAGGATAAATGATGATTTTCTCTTCCTTCCCTATCTGATATTGGCGCCACACAGGGATGAAAATCCCCTTAGAATGGCCGGCCATATAGGATAGAGGAAAAGAGGAGATTTGGTTTAAAATTTAAATAGGAGATAATTAACAAGCTTTATCTTAGAGATAGAGATTGGATTCATTCTAGAAGTTTGACTTCTACTCTATAAATACTATTTTTGAGACAATTTTCGGAATGGTTTTTTGCCCTGATTTTAGAAGTAGCCGAAATTTCTCTATAGAAAGAAGGAAACAATTTTTCTGCCCTAAGATTTAAGGCTGGCCGAAATTCTCAAGAGAGAAAGGAAGGAAAATTTTTTCTCCAAAAATTCCACATCGTGCATGTGATGGTGTTTGTGGAAATTCGAGTGTTTATTGTAACCCGTTTTGTCTCATGTGTGCCCACACACACGTCTTCGTGGATTCTAGGAATTGATGTGGAAGACATTGGTTTTCTAAACACAAAGATTGGAGCAAGGACTGTTCGTGGTCAAAGAACTTAAGTTATCATCCAAGTCGGCTTACAGGTATTTTTCCTGATTGAGTTCTTGATATATACAAGTTAATGAGATTAATTTATTAGTGCATAAATTAATATAATCTATAGAGTATCTCAAAAGTTTTATAAAAATTTTTGTTATACACGATCCGCCTCTTCCCCGCACCACCGCGCTTCTGCACCCGAATTCGATTCGGAGACCAACACCACCATCGTCACGCGACCTGCGCTTCTCCTTCTCCAGCCCCAGCAAGCCTAGCCCTCCTGCGACGCACCACCGTTGTGCCAAACCTTGCTCTTCTCTCTCTCTAATCCCATCGCGACTCTCTGTCTGGCCTCAGCAACCCAACCCCATCGATATTGTAGGTGGAGATCTAGTTTCTCATGTATGAGATTTTTTTTTGGTTTCTCAGAGATAGAGCGATAATCAAGAAATAGAGAGAGGAAGAGAGAAAAATTAGAGAGAGGGAGTCTTTTTTTTTTTTTTTTTCAAATTGTGAAAGTGGCTTGACAGTAGAGAAAATTCTAATATTACCATCCTCAGATAGCTCATGTGCTTGACATATGACGAATTCTGTCATTCATCATAGTAAGGAAAACTTGATAATAGAATAAAATTCAAGAAGAGCGGATATTACGTTTTAAAATTTGAAGGACAAAATGTTACGAAGATCATAGTTCGAGAGAAATTTTTCAAATTAATCCGTAATTTAGTTTATCCTCTGGTTCCTCTAAAAAAAAAAAGAATTACTTTAGTTTGACCACAGAAAACATATATATAATAGTTAAGCTTAATTATCGTTGATATATACATTCAGCATATGTATGATAACCGACAACCAACCAACTTGAACATTAAAAAAAAATAAAAAATAAAACATACAACCAATCAAAAACCTTTAAAATTCAATATAATACACCAAATAATGTATTTATATATATATATATACATATATATATATATACACACACACACACACTGTCTTTGTATAGTCTATAGACAGATTTTAGTCTAGAATATTCTGTTTCCTATTCTCGTTTTGATTTCCATGTGCTCTGTAATTCACCGTCCGAAACATATTGTCAAACTGAAATAGCATATTGTCAGGGTTTTTTTTTCTTTTCCTTTCACAAATGCACCGAATTGTTCATTGTTTACAACTCACCGACCTTTTAAGTTTGACAATCCGGGCTAATTTTATTTATAAAAATCCGTAGCAACTACAATCTAGACAACTAGGATCCCAAATATCAAAAAAAAAAAATAATTGCGGTCCAACTTGTCAACAACAGAAAATTAATTGCTGCATCTGTGCAAGAATTATGGGGATTCCGTCCATTATGAATTAGAATGCAATTAATAAGAATATTTAAAGATGAAATGATCATTCTTGTTTGTCCTAAATTTTAAAAGCTTAAATTTTATCACGTAAATTTTAGATTAATTTCACTTCACTCATTTGATTAAGAGCTTGTTCGGTTACATTTTTAAGTTATTGTGATTTGAGTGTAGATCTTAAGTTGAATTTGAGTTATAATTTGAGTTAAAGTTGTAACTTGAGTTTGTGTTTGGATGTGCGCATTTGAGTTATGATTTGAATTAAGAATCTATTTGAGTTTGTGTTTGAGTAAATCAAAACTTGAATTTGTATTTAAATAGTATTTTAATAAAATCTCAATGATGATGAAAAATTTTAATAAGGTATATGGATGAAATTTTATTCTTCTCTTCATTGTGAACGCATAGAAAAAAATAATCTCAATCGGAATTAAGACGAAAAAGTTATAACGTTTTTAATAATAGAAAAAATATTGTTCATTAACTTGAATTTGAGTTTAAGAACTTGAGTTGAAGAGGAAACTTAAACTCATATTTTAGCCTCAAACTCATGTTAAAACTCAAGTTAAAACTCAAGTTTAAACTCAAATTTTACAAATAAACATGAACTTGAATAAAGTTGTAACTTAAATTCAAACTTTTTTTAAGTTTTACTCTAAAAAAACAAACCCTAAAAGTTTAAGAAAAATAGTTTAAAAAAAGGAAGAGTTACGTGTAGTCATGTAATCTTTTTCATTTTTCTTAATAGAAGTTCTAATAGAAAGATCACTACCTCATTTTTTTCTTTTTTTTTCAAAACGAGACTAGTTTAAAACTTGAGTGACAAAAAGGAAGTTTGTAAAGTTTGGACAGAAAAGTTTGAGTGCGCTATGTGAGAATAATCCAGTTTAGAATCTAAATTACCAAATAACAAGAAAGATAGGGAGCAATTTGTGCAATTAATCCTTCTAATCAAAAGTTAAAAAAAAAAAAAAAAAAGAGAGAGAAACATTGCGGTGGTAATTGGATGTGTCCGTTCACTTCACTGATTCGAGTTTATAATTCGAGTTGAGATATGATTTTATGTGAGAGCTTTTTACTGTAGTAAAAAAGTTAGATGTGACTGTTTCTGAGAGCTTTTTACTGTAGTAAAACTCAAATTTTAAACTCGAATCAGCGAAATGAACGGAGTCTAAGCTCTACAAACATACGATTCTGGACTGAGTTTCAGACTGGGCCCAACTAGAGAAGCCCATCGAACCAACTAGAAAAGCCCATCGAACCAACCTAGGTGACGTGTATTGACACTCACCGCGCACGTTAGCACTCCGGAATCACAAAAGCAAAAAAGCAAGCTCCAAACTGAGGTTTAATCGAGGGTTCTAGACGTAGATTAGAATTCTTCGGTTTGGTTCTCAATTCCAGAATTTCAGGTTTGTTTCTATTTTCTTCTTCTCTTAATGAATTTTAATTCTTTTAAGAAATTTATTTAGTTGTGTTTTTCTGCCGTGCTTGGTTGGTTGCCCAGAAAATTTATTTAGGAGAGGAGAAAATTGAAATCTTGATTCTGTATTCCATGTCTTTTTGCATTTCATGCATTGTTCTCGCCTTTCTGGGGTTTATGTTAATGTATTCAACTGTAAAGGCGACAAATTTGATTCATTTCTGAAAAAAGTGTTAACACACGAACATTCCCCAAAAAAAAAAAAAAAGAATTGAAACGGGAAAACAAAAGCATTAAATTTTTTTTGTTTATTTAATATATTCTGTTGGTTAGAGATTTAATTTTCTTCAATTTTTTTTTAAGGCAGAGCAAATAGATCCTCCCCATGGGGCTTTTTTCAGGAACTTATTTGGTTGGGGGAAAATGATATGGAAATCGAACTTACTAGGGCGGACTTTTTTCTTCAGTTCTTTTTTATCATCCAAGCTATCAAAATACTTTCTTTTTAACTTTTTCCATTCTGTGCTAAAATATCTGTTTTATTCTATAAGTTTTATGGATTTTTTGCAATCCGATTTAAGGGTTGTCTGATATATTTTGCTTAAATTATTCTGATCTACTAGTTTAATGCACTTTCACTTGTGTAGTATGTAGTATTTTCATATTGATTCTTCTTCTTGAATCTTGACCAAGCTATCTATATCGGTTTCTCTTCAAAAAGACTCTGAGAAAAGGAAGAGTGAAGTAGAGAGAAGGTTATTTTTATTTTTTATTTTTATTTCAATACCATTAATCCAGGTCTTTATTCAAAATATCAATAATATAATACAACATTATAATCCTAACAGATAGTAACATGATAATAAAAAAGATAAATAACCATAATAGATTAACATAATCTTAAATCTTAAACTAATACCTAATGATCAATATCTTGCTCCTCATCAGCCTCTCTTTGTTTTTATTTTTATTTTTATTATTATTATTTGGGTCACAGGTCAGAAGCATAATCAGAAAGCTGGTTTGGTTTAAAAGAGATGGCGGGGGGATTTAGGAGCCTTGCACCTAAGACAAAGAATCTGGTAGTTGCCGGGGGATTGACGGCGTTTGTCTTCGGAGTCTATTTCTACACCATGAGAGCCGTCGGAGGTACAGATGAGCTCCAAATGGCCATAGATAAGTTTGAAGCGCAAAAGGGCAAGAAAGATGCTGAATCAAGCGCGTCATCTTAAAGTTTGATCACTTATTATTATTATTATTTTTTGTTGTCGAATAATGCGACTGTTCTTCTCAAGGACACATATGAATCAGCTTATGTTGTCACTCTCTGTGCTAACAGTAATGGTTGTCGCTGTTTTGTTATCACCATGAAAATTGAAAAGAGAGGACGCTAACTCCATTTTTACAATTTTGTTCACCAGTTTTGTTTTGCTTCTTTTTTAATTATTTATTTATTTTGCAGTTCAAGAAATGGATTTCAGATAATGGTGTGTTGTTGTTTGAATGTTTTTGTGCATATGTAGATATCAATATACACTGGTTCAGCTTGGTGGGGCTGCCCAATTTGCTAGAAATTCTCTTCATGAATTTCCCCAGCTGCGACCAGATGAAAAATTGCCCCTTGGAAGATTGTTTCCAAAATTTTGGCCGACGAGAGACTACAGTAAAATTAGGTTTTCTTCAAAATATTGTCCCGAAAATAATCTATCCATCCCGTACTAATTTTCATGATTATGAAATATGGTAGCTGTCGAGTTCCTAAAGTGTAACAAACACAAAACAAACTGTAAATGCATATTTAAGCGAATGGTTAAAACAAGCATTTCCAATTAGGACATGAATGGGAAATTTTCATAAACGATAAAGCCTCAAAAAAGATCACATAGCTGACCTTAACGTATTAACCGATTATCATTAACTTATGGTAAAACTCAATGGAGGCGGGGATAAACTAAGATTAGTATTTATTTAATTCTTTGACTTAATTGTTAACGGAAAAGGAAGCCCTCAATTTTTCAGAAAGATGCGGTAGCGTCTTGATACTGTCCTGGATCGAGTGCTCGACACACGACTCCAAATCGTTCAGCATATTGTTCTTGTTCTGTTGTAACTTAGCTGAATCGAACTTGTCTTGGCAAACCATTAGAGCCCTGTTCAACTTCTCCTGTATCCAAATTAGGAATTTTAAAAAATAGACATCAGTATTGTCCTGTGTACTAATTTTCCAAAAGCATGGCCAGTCAATGTATAACACACATCAAACAGCAACACGTAACAATCTGCAATATAACACACATCAAACATGTAACCACCTGCAATACTTGTAACTATTTAAACAGATTTTGTCGTTTTAAGAACATTTTTGAAACATCCCCGTTCATTTCGCTGATTCGAGTTTAGAATTCGAGTTGAGATGTGACTTTATGTGAGAGCTTTTTACTGTAGTAAAAAAGTTAAATGTGATTGTTTGTGAGAGCTTTTTACTGTAGAAAAACTCGAATTTTAAACTCGAATCAGCGAAGTGAACGGTGAAGTGAATCCGAAGTGGAACTTCTACCACGTCACTTACTCTGAGAAGTTTATAGACAATCTAGTTCAACCATACAGGCGAATAACTAATAAGAGGGGTGTACTTACTCGGCCAAGGATAAAGAAATAGGCCAAGATCCAGGCTCTTGGAAGAGAGAGAAGAGAGGAGTTTTCCTCTCCCTTTCTCTAACAGACAACTAACCGTTCGTTCCTCAAGGTAAAGCTGACGGTAGTATAAAATACTATCTCTAGTTGCAAATCTTCAATTTACCCTTTTTTTCCCTTCACAATTGAACTTATTTCCTACTTTAAGATTATAGATGAAAGAGAAAGTGAAAGAAACGTGAAATTTATCCAATGAGAAACCTATCCCAGTTTAGAAAGCCAGTTCTTGCAATGAAGATTAAGTACTATCAAGTAAGTGGAGAGAGAAATGAATTGGCTATCCAGAAACACGAAAATTCTGCTACAAATCAAAGCAAAACAATCCTTATGAAAAAAAAAAAAAAAAAAAAAACTACTTATGTTCATACGAAAATTCTCCGACGAATCACACCTGGAACATACGAAAATTCTCCTACGAATCAATCCTTATGAAAATTCTCCAATGAATCAATCCTTTCCTATCCCAATTTACTCTAGCATACTTCTTATGTTCATGAACATAATTGCCGTCCTCTCTAAAACTACTTGCATCGTCAATTACTATTTGAAAAAAAAAACAAAAAAAACTCAAACCAGCAGTACCCTTATCCTATATCCAATTGCAAAAGGAGTGAAATCATCTAAAACGTTTTAGGATATCAGCACAAATGGCCTTTTTTTAAGGATGTTTTTTCATAAATGGCCAAAGGTTTGCAAAATTGCAAAAATGGTCGTTTCATTAAATTAGTGGCCAATCATTGATTGACTCAGCGGTGAATTATTGATTGACTCTAATTTATCACTATTAAATAGATTATTCTTTATTATTAATCAACATTAATTAATAATCAATCAAAATCAATTAGTAATTAATCAATTTTAATTAACAAATTACATGTTTATTAATGATAAACCATTGATAAATTAATAACATGATTGACCGTGGGTCAATCACTGGTTGACTGTGGTTCATAGGTCAATCATTGATTGACTCATGTAAACAAAACGACCATTTTCATAAAATAAAATAAAATAACTCAGGCTATGTATGAAAAAAAGTGGTTAAAAAAGGCCACCCAACATAATTTTCCAACATTTTACTATTCGGATGACCAGAAAGTGACCTGAGATCTATCAGACAAAGAAAACAATCAAAACGAAAAGGAGGGTGAGAAGAAGGATCATAATATCTTACTTGAAACTTGGCCATCTCATTCTCAACTCTCTGTTGAGCACTAACAACAGGAACACTGCAATACTCAACGCAATTGCTTATCTCTTCTTGCTTTCTTCTCCTATCAAAGCACTCGTATGCACATTTGAAGTATGCTTGCTGCATACAATAACCCCCTCATTTCAAATTATGTCAAAAGGAAAATTTACATGATCAAAGTAAGAAAGATAAAAGAATTTAATCAGCCGGTTTGTAGCTTGCATAATGAATTAGCTTATTCGCCTTAACTTTCTAAGAACAAAAATATAAATTTTAGGATTTTCATACACAAAACCAAGTAAAGTAAGAAACTTTTAAAAATTTAACGAGGAAATTCAGGTAACAACAAATGGTGATCTCCTGAGCGTACTTAGAATGAGGTACATTCGTCCGTTATTAGACGAGGAAAGAATTGAAATTTTGGATTTCAAAAATGAGTTCACGTAAAGGCCTCGCATCCATTTAGCCAACCAACAACTGGATACAGCAAAATACACAAGATTCTGCAAAGTTTCTTAATAATTAGATATAGTCGAACGCAAAACACTCAGCGAATTTTGCCAGCAAGAATGTATAAAGTTCTGATTTTTCTTATACAAAACCAAGTAATTTTAAAAAAAAAATGGAGGAAATTCAGGTTATTCGAAATTTCGAATGGTGTTTTGTAAGGCATACTTGGAATGGAACGAATGAGGTACCTTAGGAAAGGATTGAAATTTGAAGTTCGAAAATCAATTTCACAAAAAAAAAAAAAAAAAAGGTCCGTCCTTTATTAGTTCAGCCAACCAATCGTAATCTTATAATATATTCCCAAAACAAAGCGATAAGAAACACAACATCAAAATCAAAGAATAAATAAATAAATAAAAAAGAAAAAAAAACCTGGAGGGTGAAATTGACGTGATCCTGAATGGGAGAGAGATGTTGTTGAGCAGCCAAATTCACTTCTTGTAGCTTTTGCCTTATCCTCTCTGATACTATTTGCTCTTCTGCTGCTGCTATGTGATTCATCCTCTTCTTCTTCTTCTTCTTCTTCTTCTTCTCTCTCTCTAACAATTTGGGGGCTTTGCTGCCGTCGCTCGTATGTTTAGGGTTTAAGGGTTTTGGGGCTTTTTTCCCCCTTTTTTTCTCCTCACAACACGTGTTCCACATAATTTCACGCGATCTCATACCGCGTAAATGGCACGCACTCGCTCAAAGAAAAGAAAGTCTTCTCTTTGAACCTGACCCTCTTTACACACCGTAGATACAGACGCAGAGACAACCAATAGATTGCAGAGATTGATTAGAGAGAGAGAGGAGAGAGCGAGAGAATTGGTAACGATGGAGTACCCGCGGAGGGAGGAGTGCAAAGAAATCCCCAATCTCCTCTCCTCTTTCGTCGACTCATTCGTCGACTTCTCCGTCAGCGGCGGACTCTTCCTCTTACCCGACGACCTCCCAAACCCTAACCCTAACCCTAACCCTAATCCTCTGCGGACCCGATACCCAGCCACCGAGCGTCTCGTCGCGATCGGCGATCTCCATGGCGACCTCGAGAAGACCAGGCAGTCGCTGAGGCTGGCCAGCCTCGTCGACGACGCCGATAGATGGACCGGAGGCTCCACCACCGTCGTCCAGATCGGCGACGTCCTCGACCGCGGCGGCGAGGAGCTCAAGATCCTCTATTTCATCGAAAAGCTGAGGCGAGAGGCCGCCAGATGTGGCGGCGAGATCATCTCCATGAACGGCAACCACGAGATCATGAACGTGGAGGGGGATTTCCGCTTCGTGACGGCGGAGGGCTTGGAGGAGTTCAAGATTTGGGCGGATTGGTTCTCCGTGGGAACCAAAATGAAATCGCTCTGCGACGGATTGGAAAAAAACCCTAGAGACCTCTTCGAAGGAATTCCTCACTCCTTCAATGGCGTCAAAGCAGAGTTCTCCTACGGATTTCGAGCTAGAATCGCCGCCCTACGGCCGTCTGGTCCGATATCGGCGAGATTTCTTTCCAAGAACCTGACCGTACTGGTAATTGGCGACTCGGTCTTCGTCCACGGCGGGCTTCTGCCGAGCCACGTATCTTACGGACTGGATCGGATAAACGAGGAGGTTAGGGATTGGATAATCAACGGATCATCGCAGGGGAGGAGATACCCGCCGGCGTACTGTCGGGGGAGGAACGGGGTGGTGTGGCTGAGGAGTTTCTCCAACGAGTCGCCGGCGAAGTGCGACTGTGAGGTGCTGGAGCACGTGCTGGCGACGATCCCGGGGGCGAAGAGGATGATAATGGGGCACACGATTCAGCGGGTGGGGATCAATGGCGTGTGCGAGGATCGGGCGATAAGGATCGACGTCGGAATGTCGAAGGGATGCATCGATGGGTTGCCGGAGGTGTTGGAGATCAAAAGGAATTCGGAGGTGAGTATATTGACTTCAAATCCGATGTACTTCAAGTCTTCTTCGGCGGCGATGGCGGCGGATGGCGGTGGTCGGAGAGAAGGGCTGGGGTTGTTGCTGCCGGAGAATGGACCCAACCAAGTACAAGTCAAGGCTTGACTTGAGTTGAATTTCCTAAATAAAAAAAATAGCATTTGCTCACTCGAAAGAAAAAGTGTATTTCTGTTTGCCAAGAAAAAGGAGAAAAGAAACATAAGGCCTTGTCATCCAAAATGAATTTTGTTTTGAGCATGAAAAGCAAATAAAAATTTATGAGAATGATACCAAAGTATGGGATATTTACAAATTTCTTTCTTATATTTTGAGTTTAGTAAAATAACCCTCTATTAGTCTATTTTAGATGTTTTAAAAAATATACCTCTGAATTTTAGATCCACATCAAATTTGTACCTCTTTTAGTTAGCAACTGATTTTATTAAAATTTGTGTAAATAAAACTTTTTTATTAAAATCATTTTTATAAAGAGCTCGCTTGAACTGCTATGCACGTGAAATTGAAATCTTGCAAGAATCATAAATTCATAATGTCAGGAAAACGATACTTATTTAGTTCATTAATTTAAGTTTTTAATTTAAGTTGAGATGTGATTTTATGTGAGAATTTTTTTATTATAATAAAAAAATTAAATATAATTGTTTTTTAAAATTTTTTATTGTAATAAAATTTTAATTTTAAACTCAAATTAATAAAATATATAGAGATCTTGGTTTTTACTGTAGAATACATGATGTCAGATCGTTTATTACCCCGTTCACTTCGCTGATTTGAGTTTAGAATTTGAGTTTTTCTACAGTAAAAAGCTCTCACAAACAATCACATCTAACTTTTTTGTTACAGTAAAAAGCTCTCACATAAAATTACATCTCAACTCAAATTCTAAACTCGAATCAGCGAAGTGAACGGGCTAACTCTCTCATTGAAAAGAAGATTTGTCGCTTGTTGTTCAAAGAAAAACGAAATGGTGACAAATGAAGACAGAAAAACGACATAAAAATAATCACATGTCGTTTCGCTGCTTAAATTCCTTGCCTAAAAGCATAATGACTTTGACGTTAGAGTGGATCCTTTCACCACACTTGAGAGAGCAGCACAAGTGTATTCTTAACTCCCAAGACATGAAAAAAGCTTCACCCCTTTCCTCTTAATTCACCAATTTATGTTGTCATTCATTTTGTAGAGAGAGAAAGAGTTGTTCAGCGATATCTCTACAGAACACAAAACAATGCTTTACTGGCTATAATAGATGGCGAGGCCCCAGATCCAAAATTATAAAAAGACTGATGAAGAGGTATGTTTTAGTTTGTTAATTTGAGTTTTTAATTTAAATTAAAATGTGATTTTATATGAGAGTTTTTTATTATAATAAAAAAGTTAGATATGATTATTTCTGAGAGTTTTTTTACTGTAGTAAAATTTAAATTCTAAACTCAAATCGGTAAAATGAATGAGACTTAAAATTTATCTTTCAGTTTCAATGGTAAGGCTGCAAAATGAAGGGCCCATTTAGTTTACTGATTTAAATTTTTAATTTGAGTTGAGATGTGACTTTATGTGAGAGCTTTTTACTGTAGCGAAAAATTAGATATGATTGTTTCTGAGAGTTTTTTATTATAGTAAAACTTGAATTCTAAACTCGAATCGTTAAAATGAACGATGCTATTATTAAAGATAATATTGCACCTATTAATTAAATAATAAAGTCATTCAACCACCATAAAATTTGTAATCACACAAACTATTAAGTTGACGTTTAGTTCATAAATTTAAAATAATTTTTATTTTATGTATTTTTTATGAAAAAAAAATATTATAAAAAATTATAAATCATGATTTAAAATAAAAAATTAATATAAAAAACAAACCTCCCTAAATCCTCCAAACCTTCGTAGCATCTAACTAAAGGGATTTTAAAAACCTTTTCCTTTTGAAATGAGTTTTGTTTTTTTTGGAAAGAAAAGAAAAGAAATGTCAACCCTATACAATAGTTTTTCTTTTCTTTTCTTTTTAAAAGGATAGATATAAGATTACAGTACTGTCATAATAGTTTATTGCTATTATCTGACACTCTGCTTTAAGATGCAAAGTTCAAATCTTCCTTGTCCCCTTCTACCCGTTGGCCGGCCGCCTCCGCCGGAACAAGGACGACAACCGTATCAAAATCGATTGCAACGCGGAAGGAGTGCTCTTCGTGGAGGCCGCGACTGAATCCGTCCTCGACGATTTCGGAGATTTTGCTCCCACACCGAAGCTCCACAGCTTCATTCCCGTCGTCGACTACTCCAGTGGCATTTCTTCCTTCCCTCTCGTGGTCTTGCAGGTACATATAAGTATGATTTGCACAACGAATTATAGACGTCGTTTTTGTCTGTTCCGTTGATCGGCTTTTGAATCGAAGATTGTCTCATGAGATTATTGACTTTTTCTCAAGAAAATACGACGGAAAAACTTTCCCGTTTTATCAAATTTGAGTACAGGCTACAGCTACTCATGTGTCTTAAGGGTTGAGCTTTTGATCATGTAATTTTACATGTTTACCAATTACCCGAAATGTAATGTGATTGAAAACGGGAAGGATGTGTGTTTTTTTTCTCTTTCTTTTTAATCCGAAATACTTAGATTAGTAAATCTAACTGGTTTAGATTTTTAGTGGCTAATATAAATCCAGTATTTCTAAATAAATCTCTTATTTACGAAGAAAATCCTTCTATTTATCTTGTTTGTTAAATCTTTAGCTTATTCCGCACAAATCCGCTAAATCCAAGTTTTACCAGGTCATTATTATCACACTATTACCATCACTAGTATTAGTGTTTGATTAATTGATTTTGTTTTTATTTGCAGTTGTTAAATAGACTATGGCGCCAAATTAAATTGACAACCAAAATTTTAGTTAATTGGTCACTAGCTTGACGGGGAAGGCCGGAGCGGACTGATCAGAGGATGGATGGTGAAGGGGTGACGTGGCCGATGGCTTGACCTCTCTCCACTTCGTGAATACATGGTCCAAAATGATTAAGCGGCTGTTCTTTTGTCGTTTTTGAGGTAGGTGATTTGAACGTAGATTTTGAGTTATAACTTGAGTTGAAGTTGTAATTTGAGTTTGTGTTTGGTTGTGTATATTTGAGTTATGGTTTGATATAATAATCTTTTTGAGTTTGTGTTTGAGTAAGTCAAAACTTGAATTTGTATTTAGATAGTATTTTAATAAAAACTCAATGCTGATGAAAAATTTTAATATGGTATATGGATAGGGTTTTATTCGTCTTTTCGTTGTCAATGCATTGAAAAAAATCATCTCAATTAGAATTAAAACGAAAAAGTTATAGCATTTTAAAGAATAGAAAAAATATTGTTCATTAATCTGAGTTTGAGTTTTTGAACTCGAGTTTTAGTCCCAAACTCGAGTTCAAACTTAAAAGAACATGAACTCAAATAAAGTTGTAACTCGAGTTGTTTTTTTTAATTTTTCACTCAAAAATATCCCAGTCGAACAATCCCTTAAACTCGAGTTTTAGTCCTAAACTCGAATTCAAACTTAAGTTCAAACTTAAAAGAATATGAACTTAAATAAAATTGTAACTCGAATTATTTTTTTTAAGTTTTTGACTCAAAAAAGCTCCAAATGTTGAAATCCAATCTAAGGAATATTTGATGGGAACACAAGTACAAGTGGTACTACTGCAATTAACTTGACCTCATTTGAGATTTTGGCGGGTCACATTTGGTGATGCGTGTGCAAAGCACGTGCACTTGCTGTCTTCTTCTCCTCTCTTTTGTTGTTGTTGTTGTTGTCGCCGCCGCTTGTCCGTTTCAATTTCTGCCTCCTCCTCCTCCTCCGAGTTAAAATAAGGAACAGGATAGCTGGCAACAAGCCATTTCATGACACCTCATTTTACTTTTTACACACTTATTCTCAAACCATCACTCATTTTATTTGTTATACTCCTTTTAAAATTTTTTAAAAAATCCCTACAATTAAATTGTGTTGGTTTTCTTTTTTTTTTCACCCATCAACCAATCGAATTTATCCTTTTTTTTACAACTATCTTCCTTTTTTTTAACACAATATATGATCATTATTTTTACCAAATGCCCAAATTCAACGAAAACGTGTAAAAGATGCGAATAAAGTAAAAATTAAAGGAGAAATATGAAGACAGTGATTTATATAAAATTCTACATTATATAACGATAATATATAGTAATTCGGATGAAAGATTAACCATTCTAGATTATTCAATTTCTACGGGAGTCTCTACATCAAATGTCTCCCAATAGAAATCACCCTGAATTGGCTGAAATAACAACTAATTTATGAAGTTCTAATTCCGACAACTACTTGATGTAGTAAATTATTTTCTGTGGAAGTTTTTCAAAGGAACATTCATTGTTAGTATACAACTAGCCAGGTCAACTCATGATCTCACTGTAACAGTATAGCATAAGTTTAATTAAGCCCCTAGATATAATAAGATCACAAGAATTATATTCGAGCAATGCGTACGAAAAATGATATTTGAGTTATAAATTTGTTTTATTTTGGAATTTTTCCAGATTTTAGGGATTATGAGGTATGTAATGAGTATTTTCCTAAAAATTACTGTCTTTAAAAGTAATTTTATTAGTGGTTATTTTAGTAACATTAGAAATTGGTATGTGAAAAGTAAAAAAAAAAGGTGTGAATTGACGTTCTGTATCCTTATAAAGTTATTTTTACAAAGAGCTCTATTAATTGGTTGTTATAGGCAAAGAAAACGGCACATCATTAATTTGTTATATATTTAAGTCTCGTTCACTTTGTAAATTCGAGTTGAGATATAACATTTTTTGAGAACTTTTTACAGAAAAAGTTAGATGTGATATTTTCTGAGATTTTTTTACTGTAAAAATCTAAAATTAAAAACTTAAATCGGTAAAATAAACGAGGTCTTAGCAGAAAAATGAGTAAAGAACAGTCAATAAAATGACTTGTGGTTTTTACTATTAGAATACTGGATAAATAATTTCAGGTTGTCTATAAACTCTCCAAGTGAAAACGAGATCGTTTGTTTGTTTTCTGCTTTTTTGTTTGTTTTTTTGTTTTTTTGTTTTTTTGTTTTGGGTTAAAAAAAGGAACCATGAGAAACGAAGACAAAAAGGACATAAAACAATCACATGTCGTTTAGCTGCTTAATAAAAGGATTATGACGTTTGCATAGTGCAGCACAAGTGGAAAACACCCAAAGGCCATGATAAAACATTCATTAATTTATGGCAACCACAAGCAGGCCGAGCTCTACAGTAGTATCTCATACCATTATGCATAGCCACACAGCGTGTGTGGCTAGCTACCACCCCTACTATCTTTTGCTTTCTATTGGAGATTGATTGATTGATGGCGCCTATATATAATAAAGTCATTCAACCAGTACCACAAGATTGATTGATTGATAGATAGCATCCTTTTTTTTTATGCACTCTAATTCCAATTTGTGTAGCAATTTATAAGATGTGATCTTCATTGATAGTGGAACTTCTTATTATTATGAGCTCGTTTAATAATTTTTTAAACACTTATTAATAAAATTATGACACTTTATAAATTAATGTACAAATTGAGATTAGAGTTGGTATTTTTAATATTATTCTTTTTCTTAGAACTGGTGGCCCTACACTGTCAACATTGCCATCAAGTAATGGGAAGCCCTAGGCCTTGTTCTTTTAGAGTTTAATTTGAGTTTAATTTTTAAGTTAAATTTAAGTTATAATTTGAGTTGAATTTGTAACTTGAGTTTGTGTTTGGTTGTGTACATTTGAGTTATGGTTTGAGATAAGAATCTTTTTGAGTTTGTGTTTGAGTGAGTCAAAACTTGAATTTGTATTTAGATAGTATTTTAATAAAAACTCAATGCTGATGAAAAATTTTAATATGGTATTTGGGTCAGATTTTATTTGTCTTTTCGTTGTCAACGCATAGAAAAAAAAATCATCTCAATCAGAATTAAAACGAAAAAATTATAACATTTTTAAGAATATAAAAAATACCGTTCATTAATTTAAGTTCGAGTTTCTGAACTCAAGTTGAAGGGGAAACTTGAACTCGAGTTTTAGTCATAAACTTGAGTTTGAACTCGAGTTTAAACTCGAATTTAAACTTAAAAGAACATGAACTCGAATAAAGTTGTAACTCGAGTTTTTTTTTTTTTTTTTTGAGTTTTTCACTCAAAAGAACAAGTTCCTAGTTTCTAAAATGGGAGAAAACCGAAATATCACTCATAATAATAGTATTAAACTAACATTTTTGTTGTGGAAGTGACATAGTAAAAACATGTCTTTTATTAAATTAGTAAAAAAAAATCTTAAGTGATATAAACTTAGTTTTTTGAGTGCAAATATACTATAACAAAAAATATAGCAATATACGTAATTTTCTCTTCTAAAGATGTAAAAAAATAGCAATCAACTTGATTTTATTTTATTTTTTCTTAAATGATAACTGTATATTCAACCCTTTTAAATTAAATATATATATACGAATTTTTAATGTTACGCTTCTATCATGATTATTTGATATGACGTGATGATTAAAATTCAATATAATTAATTATTTTATATTTTTTAATTAACTATTTAATTTATTATAATCATTGAATTAATATCATGTAGTTAAAATACATGATTATTAAAGTAACCATTAAAGTTATATATGTATATATGATTTTAAATTAATAAGAAAGCCTTATCAGTTTGAAAGACAGAAAGAAAAAACTGAAAATTTAAAAGTATACGATTGAGTTATATCATCATGTAATAGTTAAGAGAGTAGTGTGTCCGCGCCACTGATCACGTTGGACGATATCTCACGGGAAAATGCATATAAATATAGGCACTCCTTGAAGCTAAGCGATCTTATCAAAACAGCCCAAGTGCATACATCAAAAGGAACGCAAGTAAGAAGAAGAAGAAGAAGAAGAAGAGATCAGAAGAAGAAAGATGAAGTACTGAATTGAGCTAATTAAACTAAAAAAACATTTTTATTTATATATGCCCGCGCGCGCACACACATATATATAAATGATTAAAATTGAGGTGAAGGAGGCGACGGTAGTGAGGCCAGCGGAGGAGACGCCACGGCGGGTGTTGTGGAGCTCGAGCCTGGACCTGCTGGTCGGCAGCAATCACGTGCCCACCGTCTACTTCTACCGCCGTCCGACCGACGGCGCCGCCGACTTCTTCGACGTCGCTGTCCTTAAGGCCACCCTCGGCAAGGCCCTTGTCCCCTTCTACCCGTTGGCCGGCCGCCTCCGCCAAAACAACGACGACAACCGCATTGAGATCGATTGCAACGCGGAAGGAGTCCTCTTCGTGGAGGCTGAGACTGACTCCGCCCTCGACGATTTCGGAGATTTTGCTCCCTCTCCCGAGTTTCACGGCCTCATCCCTGCCGTCGACTACTCTGGTGGCATTTCTTCCTATCCTGTCCTGGTCTTGCAGGTACATATATATATATATATATTATGATTTGCATGCCCACTTGATTGCACAGAGGAAAAAAAAAAGAAGTTTTTGTTTGTTCCGCTGATTTGTTTCCGAATGGATTCTTTTACCCTTTAATCCGAAAGGATATGAAACTTGAACAACGAAGAAAGAAGAATAAAAACAGGGATTTAAATTTGGAATAGTAATAAAAACAGGGATTTAAATTTGGAATAGTCGCCGATGGAGTTCGCAGCTCCGTTGCGAGCTCACGGGATCTCGTAGTCACAAGATTGTAGTATAGATTGTGGCAAATTGAATTCACAACCAAAATTTTAAGGATTGTATGTTGGATTTTTTTCCTTGAACTTCGGTTGGTTTGGTCCACATTCATTCCATCACTTTTGGAATGTGTTTAACCTCCTCCAACGTTCAGAAACACGTTCACCCTCACTACCCACGTCTTGTGCACGTCCGAGAAGGAAGGACTCTGTGATGGGAGAGTCTATTAAAGTTTCAATGCACACTGGTTTTGGCCCCTAAGTCTGCAGTCTTTTTAGGGCACGTTCTTTTGTCAAAAAAAACTCAAAAAAAGACAACTCAAATTTTAACTTTATTCAAGTTCACGTTCTTTTAAGTTTTAATTTTATTCAATTTTACTCAACTTTATTCAAGTTTTAACTTCAACTCAAGTTATAACTCAAATTCAACTTAAAAACTACACTCAAGTTACACTCCAAAAGAACAACCCTTAAGTTATCAAAATACACCATAAAATAGAGATTGAGTGCGGTCCCGAATTAAACACTTTCATAACCTTGAGTGAGTGAAAATGACAATGACGGGAGGTAGCATTCGATCCGTTTCTTTAGTTCCGTATTTGATCTGATTGCCTAATTGCTATTTAGGATCGTTAAGAGCGTGATTTAGATGTTAGACTTTTTCCAACATTGTAATGTAAAATTTAATTTTCAGGTCACTCACTTCAAATATGGAGGGGTGTCACTTGGTGTGGGGTTGAACCACAATGTTGCCGATGGTTTTGCCGCTCTCCACTTGGTGAATACGTGGTCCGATATGGCTCGTGGTCTCGGCCTCACAATTCCGCCGTTCATAGACCGGACATTACTCTGTGCCCGCGACCCACCTCGACCTACGTTCGACCACATCGAATACAAACCACCTCCCTCCATGAAAACTACTAGTACTAGTGCTCCTCAACAATCCATTGCGGCTGGTATTTTCAAAATGACCAAGGAACAGCTCCAAGTGTTGAAAGCCAAGTCTAAGGAATACTTAATTAATGACGGGGACACAAGTACAAGTAGTACTGCTACAATCAACTTGACCTCATTTGAAATTTTAGCGGGTCACATCTGGCGATGCGTGTGCAAAGCACGTGCACTTGCTGACGATCAAGAGACCAGAGTGTACATTGCCACTGACGGAAGGTCTAGGCTACAACCCCCACTCCCACCCGGTTACTTTGGCAATGTGGTCTTCACAGCCGCACCGCTGGCTACTGCGGGTGATATCCAATCAAAACCGACGCGGTATGCTGCCAGCCGCATCCACGACGCCTTGGCACGGATGGACAACAATTACCTAAGATCAGCCCTTGATTACTTGGAACTTCAGCCTGATCTAATGGCTCTCGCTCGCGGGGCACACACATTTAGGTGCCCTAATCTTGGGATTACAAGTTGGGTTAGGCTGCCAATCCATGATGCTGATTTTGGTTGGGGTCGGCCAGTTTTCATGGGACCAGGTAAAGTTTCGTTTGAAGGATTTGTGATCGTCTTACGTAGCCCAATTGAGGATGGGAGCTTGTCAATCTCAATTAATCTTCAACAAGAACACCTGAAAGCATTCGAGAAGTTGATTTATGACATATGAGGGATGGAAATAGTTTGTGCTTAGTATAGAGTTTGGCATGAGTTTTTAATAAGGGTGTTGTGACAAGGGTATCTTTTCCCAAGTCGAATGCTCGAAATTGAAACCTTGCTAGTTGCTGGCTTCAATCAGAATAAAGAAAGAATCCTTTGAACGGAAACAGATGGACTTTTGACTCTGAACTTCTGTCTTCTTTTTCTTTTCTGAAGAAATCTTCTTCATTCATTTATTTATTTATTTATTTTTGTCCATTTCAATTATCACCTCCTCCAAATTACAATAAGAAGAACATGATAGCTCACAATAAATCATTTCAATTTTCTTATTAGGGCTCGTTTAGTTTACTGATTCGAGTTTTTAATTCGAGTTGAGATGTGACTTTATGTGAGAGCTTTTTACTGTAGCAAAAAAGTTAGATGTGATTGTTTATGAGAACTTTTTACTGTAGCAAAACTCGAATTCTAAACTCGAATCAGCGAAATGAACGGGGCCATTTGTACAAAGAGCTCTATTTGTTGACCTCATATCAATTCTAGATGTTATATGAGAGTCTCACCACATTATGTATTCGGTACACTTACAAAGTACATACCACATACCATTTTCTACAGGTTTTTCTTCGTCATAATGGTCATAACAGTCTTAATATTATTGGAACTGTGGCACATAATTCCAACTCCAAAGAGCTATTTTCTTGCCGGCCAATCAGAAGTTGTTAGATGTCAATTGTGGCGGTTCGGTTTGTTGAAGGGAAAACTATGATTTCTTGAATTGAGAAAGGAGTATATGAATAGTCTTTTTACAGTTTGTTCTTTGTGAGATAACTTATAATGTTTTTGCTATTTGTTCTTTGTGAGAAAGTGCTCTCAGATGCACAAGAGAATTGACTTTCATGTCCCCTTTTTCCTATCTTTTTTCATGTTACTCTATTAATATTGTAACGCATCAATTAAAAATTCTTACCATGTCAATCAAAAGGTCATTGTAGTTAATTAAACTAATTTAAACTAACGTGGCATAATTTTATGGGGTGACATGAAATGTGACATATTATGAGGACATTTGAGCTCAATCGGTGCAAATGGGGTCTAGTACGACTGACTTCACAAAGGTTTTTTTTTTTTTTTTTTTTTTTTTTTTTTTTTTTTTTTTAAAAAAATTTTTTTTTTTTTTTTTTTTTTTTTTGTTTTGTTTTGTTTTAAAACAAAATAGACATTTTCACGGAATGTTACCACAAGTGTGTGCTTGTTTTACTCTTTAGCTCATAACTTTTTCTTCTTGTTGTTGTCCGTTTCATGTTAATCGTCGTTTTTGGGTACATAGTCCGTTTTTTCTTTTGTGTTTGTCTCTTTGTTGTCGTTTCAGTTAGGGTTTTGTTTATGCATTGCTGTTTTTTGTGACACTATCATTGACTCATTTATCCATTTTGTTGCCGTTTTTCTATATTTTTTAATCGGTTTTTTACACTAGTAGGCTTTTTACATGTTATGTTCTTTATTGTTACCTTTCCTTTTTTGCCCTGTGTGTTTTTCTCTTTGACTGTGGTTTTCTTTATTTCATGTCGTTTTCTATTACGGTGTCCTTGACTCCATTTTTTTTAGATAGTTTTCACGCTATCGTCTCTTTTCATGCTATGTTGCTTGCTTTATTTTTACTTATTTCGTTTTTTTTAACGTTAATAGTTGTTGTCGTTATTTCATTTTAATTATCGTTTTTATTCTTTGTCGTTTTTCCCTACTTGTTTTCTTCCTCTAGTTGTACTTTTCATTACAAAGAAAGTCTTTTGGAAAGATAGTTTTTTTCCTTTGCTTCCGTCACTGTTGTCTGCTATTGTTATCTTGATATTCTGTTTTCGTTCTCCCCACTAACTGTCGTTTCCTAATTCTTTTACATTCGTGCTTTGGAAAATGAATGGTTATAATCTGAGTCGGAATGATAGGACGTTTGTAACCGATCCATGGAGAATTCAAGTTCCGGCTACCTGTGGAAGCATACTAGGATGGGAAATGTGGATATCTGTTTTAGATGTAAGACTGTCGTTATTCAGTTGTTTAATCATATTATAGGCCCCGTTCATTTCGCCGATTCGAGTTTAGAATTTAAATTTTATTACAGTAAAAAGCTCTCAGAAACAGTCATATCTAATTTTTTTACTACAGTAAAAAGCTCTCACACAAAATCACATCTTAACTCGAATTACAAACTCGAATCAGCGAAGTGAACGGGCCCTTAGGTCAAATTTAATTGAACTTAGATTTTTAGTTATAGTTTTAGGACCCGTTTAGTTTGTTGATTTGAGTTAATATGTGACTTTATGTGAGAGCTTTTTACTATAATAAAAAAAATTAAATGTGATTATTTTATAGAATTTTTTACTGTAACAAAACTCGAATTGGTAAAATTAACGAGACATTAATTTATTTTTAAAAAAATTGTAGTTTTAATTTTACTTTGACATGGCAGTTCAGCATTGTACAATATTAATAGTGTATAGGACCTCAAAATTAATTCATTTGAAATAATTGCAAAAAAAAATTATTTTTAAATTTTTATTTAACTATGCCTTGATTTAATAATAAAGTCAACCTACATATTTTATAGTTACAGAGATAATATCACGCTAAACATACCCTTTTTATGTGGCCAGTTATAACTTTATATAATCAATTTTAAAGACTAATCTAAAAAGAATAATGTCATAGATTTATGTGCAAACATCACAACTTATCTACAAATTGTTTTTCTTAAGTCAACCTATTTTAGAGAGAATAAGGGTGAGGAGGGGGGAAGCGAAGTTCCCGTTTAGGTATGTTTAGTTAGTGGATTTGTGTCATAATTTGAATTATAATTTATGATTTATTATAGTATTTTTTCTTATAAAAAATATACATAAATTGAGAATAATTTTAAATTATAATCTTAAATTTATGAACTAAACGTTCACGATGTCGTAGGACTCCATGGAAGTGTGTAATGGGCCGAAGAGTACTCACTAAGCATGGGCCAGACTGAAGCCCAAATAGTGTGAATTGTGGGCCGAGCCTTGGCAGTCTATCTTGTTGTTTGCAATTAGGGTTAGTCACGGTTTCAGCTTGACAAGGCCTATAAATATGCACCCATTTTTAATCCTAAACCCATCGGGACCTCGGAGTCTCCTCTTGTTTGTGGACGTGGCTTTTTCTTCTTTTCCAAATCTAGGGTTTCTACGTTTTATGTTTCAGTATTTCTCCGATTTTTTTTTTCCTCTGGTTTGTTTCTACGTTTTCGTTTTTGTTTTTGTTTATTATTTTCAAAAATATTAGAAGCCAATTAGCAGAGCAAAGGCGTCGAATTCAGTAAAAAATGGCGCAAATTGCATTGAAGGTTGGCGAAATCATTGGATGCGATTCTCCGTGCCTATCAAATTTTCTATTTCGTTTTGATTATGGCCTCGAACAAGTCGCTACATTTCATTCTCATCTCATCTCCTCTTCTCTGCTTTAATGTTTTTCTCTCTTTCGAAATGGTTTTTTTTTTCCCTAACTTTTACATATTTTCTTTTCTATTGTTTTTTTTTTTTTTCATTTTCAGAAGGAATTTCGCTGATTACATAGATGAATGTACTTGTGGATAGTGGTTCCGAAGATTCTGGATTGAAGAAAGGATTAACGGAAATTAATCGATTAATCTTTTTTGGAATACTTAAAAAATTTATGATCAGACTTTAAAAGCCATTAAATTTTTCATTGGAAGGAAAAAAAAAACCCTAAAAAATTAAGGAAATTAATGAAGCGAAAAGGAAGAGAGTTGAGCCAAATCCATGGCTCCACGAGCTCCGAGCCCTAAAATACTCCCTGAAATATTCCAATTTCAAGTGATCCAAACTTTAAAACATTAAAAACGACTAAAAACATTAAAAACGACTAAAAACAATCAAAACGACTAAAAACATTCAAAACGACTACATGGCTCGAATGAGAGGTGAATTATAAAATCAATAATTTGAGTTGTTTTTAAATTATTTTTAATGGTTTAAATTATTTTTTTCTCTTAAACATTAATTTAAATCTTAAATTAAAGTTTAAATTTTAAACAAATATGGACTATATTATTTCTTTAAGATAAATTTCCTTAAAAAAAGAAAAAATTTGATAAATTTTATGAATTTTCTCTTGAACAATAACTCTAATAATATATCTTTTGAACTTGTTTTAGTTAGGGATATAATTTTTATGTTTTAAAGTTCGGAGGCAATACAAGTAATATAGCGAGAATTACTGAAAATGATCCTCTCTAATACGTTAAGTTAAATTTTCTAACCGTTAAATTTATATAAAATCAAGTAAAAATTAAAAAATATAAATATTTAATTAATATATTATAGATCAAGTTTTTTAACTATTAAATTTATATAAAATCATGTAAAAATTAAAAAAATATGCAGATTTAACATTTAAAAAATACTTGACTTATCAGTATATCGTACCAAAAAATCTCTCTAACCAAAATTTATTCATTTATTTTAGTAATAAATTTTCTTTTCTAGGAGCCGAACTACTGCGGTAGCCAACTTGTTTGCTCAACAAAAACATGTTTGGAGTCGGTTTATGATTTCTATTGGCGCTCTAAAAGTGACCAACCAAATTTCAGCAATAATTAGTGTTGTTTTGATCAAAAAATTTCATAATGTATTACGATCTTATATCCTAACAAAGATGTATTAGGAACCGTTTGGTAAAAGATTCTACATTGGAAAAGGGGAACAGAAATGAGAGCTAACAAACGAGAGCTGCCGACTCATAATCACCGTCAGTCCCATAAAAAGACTAATCTCTTACATTACACAAACTAAGAATGAAAAAAGAAACGACTCTCGTCCAAGATACTATTAAAGGAGAAACAAAAACATTACGAAACTAACCCCACTACTGTTTTTTATTTTTTATTTTTGCTCATCATCTAATACGACACCACCACCAGAAAGAAACAACTGTATCTACAGAAATACGACGCTAAGGCATTCTCCCACAACCACAAAACTTTTAGCTCCTTGATTATGCACCTAAGAAATTTTGCTAGAGAATGCACATACGTATCCTTTTTCTCCTCTCTTGTTCCTTCTCTTACAGCTTAACTTCTCTGTCAAATATCCAAGTGAATGGTACGGTGGGAGCTTGTTTGGCCCTACCTTGAGCTCTTTCCTCCAGCCTTCTGATTCTTGGGGCTAACCCACAAACATAATCTTGCGCTTTACGCCCATCGCCCGAAAGTCCTGTTAGGTTCTCCACCTTCCACCTTCCCACCAAGAACTCCAATATGTCAGCATAGTCCTTGGCCGTGTAGACCCCAAGTCGTTGTGCAACAGCTGAAAAGTGATCGAAAAGGTTATCGTCGCGGCCATCATACATCAAGTGAGCTGGCATAGAGATTTTCTTCCTCATCATGTCAGCAAAAGCTATGACAGTGCCATCAGGATCGATCTCAAGGAGCTTTTCAACTATCTTGGTGTAGGCCGTCTCGTGCCGCTTCTCATCCGCAGCTATTGTACCGCAAATTTGCGCCAACTTCAAGTCCCCATACTCCTTTGCGTGCCTGGCAGTGTTCCCATGAGAGATAAAAGTAGCCCTCTCCTGAAATGAAGTGTAGATGAAACCAAGATAGGGATTGTTCTCTGTCCGGGGATCCTATGACAAATAATAATAAAACACAATGGTGAATGATTAGAGGACTAAAATTGTCATAAAAGTAAAATGGCAAAACTTTATTAAGATTTTTAGATGACCGTGTGTGTGCAAATATGTGAAAAAGAACAGATTGACTTAAAAAAAAAAAGAACCGAAATCATGCTAATTTCAGGAGTTATCTCACCATTCCAGAACCGATCAAATATTGAATGGTCTTCTCAATTTGCCTCATGTCTACGCGTCCCGTTAGGTAGAGATACTTGTTGAGAAGGTCACCATGCCTGTTCTCTTCAGCGGTCCATGCCCTAGTCCAAACTGCCCATGAAGTAGGGCTAGCGCCAGTTTCATCCCGAACACCATCTAAGGTGTTAAGCATTGTTTGGTAGGTTGGGAGAGCTTCTTCCGTGATCATATCTCCGACAAGAACAACAAAGTAATCATCTGGAATCTCCTTAGCCCTCTCTCTAAGTTCTTTGACCTGGTCATAAAAATCATCGGAGGCAGGATCTGGCAGGAAATCCTGAGGCTGCCAGCACTTCTCGACTGGCTTCAAATGAACGAGAATGTTCTCCTCAGCCCAATCGTCCATTGATTTGAAGATCTCAATCTTCTGTGGTGGCATGGAGTGGGTTACTTGAACATGAACCTCTCTAGGAGGTGTGAAAGGCTTCTTCAAATTCTCAACTTCCCTGCATTAAGTTAAGCAGCAAATCAACTTAATTAGAAAACACATTTGAATGAAATCAAAAAGTTCATTATCTTGTCAACTTGCAGCTTCTTTATCTCATGTCCAATAACACAAAAATCAAGTAACAAAACTGTCCACGTATATATGTGCACACCAATGGGCATTATTGTATAGTAACATCATGAAATCCTAATGGAACCCAAAAAGGCAAAAACTCCTGTTACAACATTGAAAATATTGGTTGAAAGAGCAAATATACATGCTTTGAACGTATAAACATGCTTCCCATCATAAATTATAAAGCGTGATAGCTTTTCACCATTCATAGTCGTTAAACTGGTGCATGGTGACTAGTGGAAGAACACTTATTGAAACAAAAGGAGATTGAGGAAATATAAATTCTGGGGACTCGCAATGTTATTTCAGCTAAAATGCTAAATGCTAACTAGAAATCAGAGGTAAATGTTGGGAATTAAATTTGCTAAACTAGAAAACAAAAACTCAAGCAGAATCAATTAGGAACAGCCAGAGAAATTCAAAACCCCAGTTTCAAAAAAGAAACATTTGCATAGAGATATGTGAGTGAGAGAGAGGGAGAGAGAGAATTCAAACCACTGATCAGTCAGGACTAGAAGGTGGATTTATAAATATTTTCCTACAGAAAACGTGTTCGTTGCTATACATAATATTATAACCAGAATTTTGAGATGAAAAGTTGCATAAATAAATAAAGGAACAAAGGAATAATGCATGCATTTATTGGTATCAAGTATTTAATAAATCAACATGCAGTCAAGTGCTATCCTGCAGAAAACAAACAATTCTGTGATGAAAAAATGCAAGCCAAAGTGATAAAAAATGCAAGCCAAACGCACCCATTATAACCAGAATTTTGAGATGAAAAGGTACATAAATAAATAAATAAAGGAACAAAGGAATAATGCATGCATTTATTGGTATCAAGTATTTAATAAATCAACATGCAGTCAAGTGCTATCCTGCAGAAAACAAACAATTCTGTGATAAAAAAAAAAAAAGGAATAACGCATTAATGAAAATATAAACACATTTCTCCAAATTATGTAATATCGACAAAACAGTCATAAATTTTCCAACTGCCTTCCTTCCGAAACAAGGCCAAAATAAGAAGCAATGCGTTCCATCAAATTCAGAGCAAAGCTCCAATAAACAGAAATAATTCAAGAATACAAGCAAACAGAGAAATTGGGGAGTTTCAGACTTCAGGTCACTGTTTGGTAAGAAAGTGAGCATGTCCTTTTCAGTCAAACAATTTTACTAACAAGAAATGAATGGAAATGAAAGTATGTAATTTCTAGTATCTCTAAGAAGCTTCCCAAAAATGATTTCTACAAAAAACTTTTTTTTTTTGGTTAAGAATCTTTTCTATTTTATTCACCTGATTAGGGTCTTCAAACCATTCCTTTACACACACTAAAAAAAGAAACCCCAATCTCCACAATTATAAGTGTACCTTAGATTGACCATTCCATCAATCCGAACCCACAAAAATAAACATATTATAATCAACTAATCGAGCATTTATACACAATTGAAAATGTCTTTTAAAGCAGAAGTGAATCCAATTAAACCCAGAACAAAATCCACGAAACAATCTTGGATATCCGCATTAATCAGAGAAATCAGCAACTTTAACACAAACAAACTAGTTTTGAAAAAAAAAACACAAAATCGTTTTAATTCAAATTGGGGACAAAACACCATGATAAATGTAGAATCTTTAAACATCTAAAACAACCATAAAAGATTAATTAAACGAAACGAAAAGTAAAAACAGCAAAAAACTTGCGAAAAAGAAAGTGCATTAGTGTAAGCCAAATTAAGAGGCGAAATAGCAAAATCCCAGATCCAATAAACAGCTCAAGAACGCCATCCAATGATTATAATTATTACAATTACGAAACAAATTTAAAAAAAAAAATAAGAAAAGAGAGAGAGAGGGGGGGACAAACTTGGAGCCAGAACGGAGAGTGGAGGCCATGAAGAACTTGGGAGAAGGAGATCTGAGAGTGGTGGCCATTGGAGGAAGAGCAAAAGCAGGAACAAGCTTCGGGGATTGAGCTGAGATAATGGTGGGATTCAATCTCAGAGCCATTTTGTTTCTTTGTTTCTTTCGTTCTTCTTCTTCTCTGTTTGTTTGTTGTTTTTTGCGTTCGTTTCTGTATTTGAAGTCTCGTCCACAGAAATCCAAAAGAAAGGAAAAAAGAAGGGAGAGTAATATTGAGGAGAAAAAATTGGGGTGGCATCAACTGTGTATGTACGTGTGTCACTTTGTAAAGACAACAGAGAGAGAGAGAAAGAGGGGCATGGGGACGGCAAGAAGCAAAACCACTCCTCTTATATTGTCAAACACTAACTATTAAGACATGTTTAGGCCCCGTTTATTTCGTTAATTCGAGTTTAGAATTTGAATTTTGCTACAGTAAAAAGTTCTCACAAACAATCACATCTAACTTTTTTGCTACAGTAAAAAGCTCTCACATAAAATCACATCTCAATTCGAATTAAAAACTCGAATCAGCGAACTAAACGGGCTTCGCTGATTCAAGTTTTTAATTTGAATTGAGATGTGATTTTATGTGAGAATTTTTTACTATAATAAAAAAGTTAGATATGATTATTTATGAGAGCTTTTTACTGTAATAAAACTCAAATTAACGAAATGAACGGGACTACGTGTCGGATTATAATTCCGTTCCAACTTGCCCTTTCCCCTTTCACTTTAATTACATTTTTACCCTTTTCTTTCTATTTATTAGATTTTATCACGAATTTTGTTAGAGACAAATACTGTTTAAAGGTTATGAGTCTGAATTTTTACTTTTTATTTTTAATTAATTAATTATATTAGTTAAAAAAATATTAATTAAAAAAGGATAAAAATTTATATTTGTGCACTTTAAAAGATTATTTTAACAATTTTTCTTTTTGGGGGTTTACACAATTTTGAATGTTAAAGTTTCTCTAATTTTATCTAGTTCTCAAGTGATTTTAAAAGGAAAAAATATGATAAAAAAAGTTGTGGCATATTATTATCTCTTTAATGAAGCAATTGTTTAATTAATTTCGTATCAATTTAGAATATCTTTTTTTTTTTTTTAATTTTCTTGGTCGAGAATGCACGAGCTGCCCAATTATCAACGTTTTGAAAGATGATCTAATCGGTTATTTGATGGCAAGCAAATATACGCCGGCAGGCTAATTAAATGAGCAGAACAAAGTGGTTCAATATACTTTTACCAAACGTAACATCATTTCTTTTCTTCTTTTAATTTAATTTTTTATTTATTTCTTCGATTTTGGGGTCTAATCTTGGGCAAACCCGTAAATGTGCATCAAGCATTTATGTTTCGGTAGGATATGTACACTGGTTTGTTGCGTTTTTGTTTTCTACACATCACTTGGAAATCAGAGAAACAAAGAAAAACGGAAAGTAAACAGGAAAGATATATATCCCACTTGGCATCCCTCTTCTTTTGCATGGCTTCCATCAGTAGTTTTTTCCGTCACAAATTCAAATTCAATTTTGTCTCTTTTCTCCTCCTTTTGAGTCATCTCTCACACTTGTGGGGGAAATGCTCGTTGCAACAGGTGGCAAAGTTGCAAAAAATTTTCTCCTCGGTTTAAGCAAAATTACAGTGTTGGATCTTTACATTCTTATCTTTTGTTTCCTAGATTTTTTTGGTTCAAATATTTTTTCTTTCATAAAAATTAAACAAATTTGAATTTTTATTTGAATTTTCTGTTCAATAGCATTTAATCGGTGTATTCGTATCATGATTTGAATTATAGTTCGTATTTTATTACAATATTTTTTCTTATAAAAAACACACAAAAATAAAAAATCATTCTAAATTATGATTATGAATCTATGAACCAAACGTAATTGAAAATTCAGTGAAAACTAGATATAAGGATTATTTACAAATAATATTATTTAAAATAGGTATGAAGAAATATCTATCAAGATAAACTTGATTTTAGTTATTTTTATGACATTTAGTCAATTCAAACGTGTTGTAATGGAGGGATTTTAAAACTATTTTTGGCAATCATAAAAAAAATATTTTTTATGTAATTCTTAAAAATATAAAAATAGTGAATATCAAATTTCACTTATTTTTATATTTACAATTTTGAGTGTAAATAACTTGGGGTAGGAAACTGAGGTACGCATTAGGTTGGGGATATTGATGATGGACAGATATAATGACGGAGAAATTTTTGTTGGTTCATCTTTTAAATATTTAATTAGGGATATGAGAGAATTGTTAAACTAATTTAGTATCTGACTACGAGGTTATGAGTTCAAATTACTCCGTCTTTCATATGTTCAGTTTAAATATTTTTAAGTGATTTAGACTTTTGTAAAAATTATTTTTAATTTTCACATTAAAGTGGTACATATGGATAATTATAATGGGATTAAAATTACACTTGGGATTTCTATTTTTTTTTTATAAAGGGGAAATTTTATTATTAAAAAAAATAATAAAAAAATAATTACAAACTCAACATAATGTTGCACATGATCCTAAATACAATGGAATTTGACCGAATGACTGGATCCACCAATAAAAACAATAATAACACACAGACGGGTACGAATGCTAATGACCAAAGAGGAAAAGGCCAATCGGCACATAAAAATTGAGTATAGTCAAAGCTCGTTAAAAAAGACCAAAAAGTCAATGGATTAACCTAGTCAATTAAGACTAAACCCCAATTCACGGGGGCATAAACAACACGACCTAGAGAAACCTTTAGCCAACCATCAACAGCAACGCCATCGAGAAACACCTTGAACAGATGGGACACACAAACCAGGCTAGAAGGTGGGAAAACCACCTCAGTTACAAAACAAAACGCATAACTCACGCCATCAAGCAGGTGGGAGACACAAAACCATACGGAGGACACACCATCTGTTGTGACAACTAAACAACAACAAAAATCCATCGATGCTAAGCCGTTTGCCGAAGTGCGAAAGCCAAATTTGAGCAGAGCCACCATAGAGGAAAAGCACAACCGGAGGAGATGAAGGAAACGCACCATGAGATCGCGGCCACTCGCTGCCGAACACGTTAGAAACAACGGTCCAAGCAACAAGTAACCCACCTCCAAGGCGAGTTAGATCCACCCCAACGGAAACACTACACCACACACATCCACCTTCACGTGAAAGCCAACGTCGAGATGAGTTCGGGGACCAACTTTCAGCTAGAAGCCCAGCGTCGTGCCCTGAGGTGGCGTCGGAACTCCAGCCAGAACCGACACTCCAAGAATAATATCTTGTTATCTCTATCTCTCTCAAAAAACCTGTCAACGTTGTCTTCCTATCCACCATTTCTATTCTAGTTTTAAATCTTAATGGTAATGGAATGAAGATCTGTTGTCCTATTTTTCTGTATTGCTCGGTATCTCTCCAATTAAATTTGATACCTGTCGGGGTATGATAGATTCGAAGGGTCAACGTGTCAGGGGTTGACAAGCGTAAGCACGCAGTTTGTCAGAAGCAGATCCGACTTGGCCAAGCTTCGATGTGGATGATGATGGCCGAACCTCCGACGAAGAAGTGGAGTCTATTAGGCCCAAATTAGGCCGAAGAACGTGTCTCCTAGGACCCTCTTTGTTGCCGAAATGACAAAAATGTCCTGCAAAATTGTTAGAGAATCCGCAAACACAAATAAAAGAACTGCAGAGATGAAGGATGGTGGGAGGTGCAACCAAGTAGTTGATGGAGATGGAGAAAAGGAGACCAAAGGTGCCTTGATAGAGCAGTGCTCTGGAGACAAGCACGAGCTGCTCCATAAGCGAAGATGGTGACTTAAGTGGTGGATAAGGCTTGTTAGAGAGTGAGAGTGAGAGTGAAGTTGGTGAGGTGGATAAAGCTCTGGTAAAAAGAACTCCAAGAGCAGCGTGTATTGCTCTGGGAGTGAGAGCAACGCTCGGAGCACTTGCTCCGACGGTGAGCGGAGTGACCCTGAAAATGAAGACTTGAACATTGCTGGAAAATGTGTGAAGAAACTTCAAAGAACTTTGTGATGGTAGTGGAAATAGATCGACAAGTGTTTTGGGAGAGTTTCCAAGACTGTTAACACTTAAAGCTTTGAAGAACTTGAAGAACTTCAAGCCTTTATAGTAAGAGACTAAAGAAGTCTAGAGAGAGTGATCTGAAAAAAATGAGAGAGCTCGTGAAAGATGATAGGAGTCAAACGGGGGTGGGGTTAAAGTTCTCGGGTCTTCAAGTCATCTGGAATGAGAAAAATGAGGGTATTTATAGGTGAAGTTGGTAGGATTTTGGTGGCAGCTTCGAAGGTTCGTATAGTGTGCTCTGACGGACGCCTGCACAAGCAATCTTGATGGAGCAAAGCCTTCTGACACTTTTTCAGAGTTGAAGAGGAGATTAGCCAAAAATGGAATGAAGACTTCTGCGAACTTACTCTAGGGGTGAATCGACGGCACTCTGAAGGAAGCATGCATATGGATCCAAATGGAGCAAAGTCATCATAAGCCTTTCCGAGGTTGAAGAAGAGCTGGTCCGGAAAAGAAAAGAAAGATTCATGGTGGCTGCTCCGAAGCCCAATCGGCGGTGCTCTGGTGAAGACCTGCACACGCAATTCTCTTTGGAGCAAAACGATCAAATGATTTACTGTATAAATTATGGATTTACCAAACTTAATCATGGAGTAAATTAGATAAATCTTAAATGTCAATTGTTTACTTATCCAAAATTTTTGCCAATTGTTTTTAGTATTTTACTTTTTTCTCCTAATAAGATAAGATATGAGCTATGTTACTATGTATACAAGATTACACAGTTTCCAGGATTTTATTTTTAGATCTCTCGGTAATATAGTATACATTGAACTGACCGACCAGCAAGTAGAAGCGCATTTACATGAGATCTCTTTCAAACCAACTACCCATTTGTCCAATCACTTTCGTATCTAAATTATGGTTCACAATGTTTCCATTTCTTTCTCTATGACGTTAAATGTCTCCACTTTTTTATACGAACTTTTAGTTGGGACAAATTCTCAGTTGTAGTAATCAATTGCATTATTTCAAGGCATATAAGAATGATGATAGCCCCACTTTTCCGAAAATAACCTCCAATGATCATTGCGATTTGATAATTGAGATTTGAAAGAGCTATTTAGAAATTCAGGCATGTTTACCAAACCTAATGAAATTTAATTGAAAAGGAAAACATAATAGCTTCCCGTAATGAAATGTGATGGGAAAAAAAAGTGGTAGATTTAACAATGATGGTAAATTAAGTAATA